GGGGTGGCACGAGTGAGGTGACACGGGCAGGGGGTGGCACGGGCAGGGGTGACACGGGCAGGGAGTGGCACGAGTGAGGTGACACGGGCAGGGGTGACACGGGCAGGAGTGGCACGGGCAGCGGGTGGCACGGGCAGGGGTGGCACAGACAGGGGTTACCCCACCCGCAGTGTCCCCATCCCAGCTACGCCCACCCCACGCTGCGGCACAACCTCCCGGGGGCGGGGACCGCGGTGGCACCGGGAGGGGACCCGGCTGGCAGTGCCACCACGCGCCCCGCAGCGCGGGGGGGGGGCCCCTGGCACGGGTAGGGGGGGCAGGACCGGCGGAGACCCCGCCGAGGGCCGGGGGGGTAATAAATAGAGCATCAAAAATACAAACCGTGGGCAGGAGGCGACCCCGGGGGAGGCACCGGGACGACCCCCGGGGCCCGCGGGCACCCGCAGCGCGGGGGCACCGTCGGGGGGTGGCACCGGGGTGACCCCGCGGCCGAGGGCTGGGGGGGCTCCGGGCCCCTCGGGGGGGGGCTATACGAGCGCCGAGCGGGGCTCGCAGGGCCCCCCCACGCTGGCGCAGCTGCTGCGGCGGCGGGGGCCGGGGGTCGGGGGGCCGCCGGGGCTCAGGGGGCCGGGGGTCGGGGGGCTGCCGGGGGTCGGGGGGCTGCCGGGCCCCTCGCCGGGGCAGCCGTGCTGCAGGAGGATGTCGGAGCACTCGCGGCTGCCGGCGCGGCGGGCGTAGAACAGCGCGGTGCGGCCGTGCCCGTCCCGGGCCCGCACGTCGGCCCCGTACTGCGGGCACAGCGCGCGGGTGTCACCCGCGGGGCCACCGCGATGCCACCGGGGCCGCGATGCCACCGCGGAGCCCACCGTGTGTCCACCCTGGTCGTGGCACGGCCCCCCCAGCCCCGCCCCGAGGGTCCCGTGTGGCCGTGCCAGGATTCCCATCGCCCTGGCACAGCCCCCGTGGCTGTGCCATTGTCCCCAAGGCCACCCCGTGCCCCCCATAGTCACACCGCAGTCCCCACGGCCACGCTGTCCTCCCCAGGGCTGTGCCAGGGCCCCCGGGACCTTTGTCCTTGCCCCACACCCCCTACGACCACCCCACACCCCCCCAACCACCCCGTGTCACCCACAGTCACATCAGAACCCTCATGGCCACCCCATGCCCCCCAGAGGCACCCCGTGTTCCCCACGACTGTGCCATCTGCCCCCTGGCCGTGCCATGGGCCCCAGACCACCCCACACCCCCCATGGCAACCCCACAACCCCCATGACCACCCCACAACCCCCATGACCGCCCCATGTCCCTCCTGGCCATGCCATGGTCCCCATACCACCCCACAACCCCCATGGCAACCCCACAACCCCCATGACCACCCCATGTCCCCCCTGGCCGTGCCATGTCCCCCCAACCACTTCACACCCCCATGGCCACCTCACAACCCCCGTGACCACCCCACAACCCCCATGGCCATGCCATGGTCCCCAAACCACCCCACACTCCCATGGCCACCCCACACCCCCCATGACTGCCCCATGTCCCCCATGGCCACCCCACACCCCCCTGGCCATGCCATGGGCCCCAAAGCACCCCACACCCCCATGGCCACCCCACAACCCACGTGACCACCCCACATCCCCCACAGCCACATCACGGTCCCCAAATGACCCCACATCCCTACAGCCACCCCACACCCCCCATGACCACTCCATGTCCCCCATGGCCACCCCACAACCCCCGTGACCACCCCCCACCCCCATGGCCACCCCCCAACCCCCGTGGCCGCCCCACGCCCCCGTGACCACCCCCCAACCCCCGTGCCCACCCCATGTCCCCCACAGCCACATCACCGTCCCCGTGCCCACATCACCTCCCTCACGACCACGCCGCATCCCCCACGACCACCCCAAGACCCCACACCCCCTCCAGCCCCCCCAGCACCCTCCCGGCCCCCTCCCCACGTACCCAGACGAGCAGTTGGGTGACGACCACCTGGGCGGTGTCGCAGGCCACGTGCAGGGCCGTGCGGCGCTCGGGGTCCCCCGAGGGCGCGTTCAGCTGCTCCTTGTGCCCGTGGGCGAGGAGCAGCAGCACCGCGGGCAGGTCCCGCTCCCGCACGGCCCCGAGCAGCCGCTCGGCCAGGGGGGTATCGGCCGCGGGCAGCGGAGCCAGGAACAGCCGCTGCTCGTACTTGGCGCGGATCCACGACTCCCGCTCCTCCCTGGGCACGGGGACAGCGGGGGACACGGGGGACAGGGGGGACACGGGGTGTCAGGGACAGCGGGGTGGCACCATTGGGGGCTGGATCTATGATTCCTGCTCCTCCCTGGGCACAGGGACAGCAGGGGCACGGGGCACTGGGCACGGGGACAGCGGGGACACGGGGGACAGGGGGTGTTGGGGACAGCGGGGTGGCATCACAGCTCCCGCTCCTCCCTGAGCACGGGGACACTGCAGTGACACGGGGACACAGGGGACAGGGGGCATTGAGGACAATGGGGTGGCACCACAGCTCCCGCTCCTCCCTGGGCACGGGGACAGCAGGGACACAGGGATATGGGGGACACGAGGGACACAGGGGACAGGGGGTGTCGGGGACAATGGGGTGGCACCACAGCTCCCGCTCCTCCCTGGGCATGGGGACACTGCCGTGATGGGAGGACATGGGGGTGGCAGGGACACAGGGTGGCACCTGGTGGCACGGTGGTGGGGACACAGGGGTGGCAGTGTGGTGATAGCACAGGGACAGGGGGAGTGGAGACAGGGGGACACGTGAGTGAAAGGGACACAGGGTGGCACCGGGGTGGCACAGGAGGTGGGGACACAGGGGTGGCAGAGGCAGTGGGGTGGCACCATGGGGGGCTGGATCTATGATTCCTGTTCCTCCCTGGGCACAGGGACAGTGGGGACACAGGGGACAGGGGGTGTCAGGGACAGTGGGGTGGCACCACAGCTCCTGCTCCACCCTGGGCACGGGGACACTGCACTGACATGGGGACACGGGGGACACTGGGGACACGGGGGACGGGGGTGTCAGGGACAGTGGGGTGGCACCATAACTCCCACTCCTCCCTGGACATGAGGACAAGGGGACACGGAGTGGCAGGGACACAGGGTGGCACTGGGGGTGGTGTGGGAGGTGGGGACACAGGGGTGGCAGGGACACAGGGTGGCACCGGGGGGGCACGGGGGGTGGGGGCCACGGGCGGGGGGGGGTCACCCACCGTGAGGACTCGTGGGTGGGTTTGCAGCGGCCGCGCGGGTTCTGCTCCCAGATGCTGTTGGCCGTGGCGTTGCCGATGGCCGTGAGCACCAGCGTCAGCTCCCGCGGCCAATCGTCCAGGTCCAGCGAGCGCACGCGCGACACGTGCGTGCCCAGGTTGCGGTGGATGCCCGAGCACTCGATGCAGATCAGGGCGCCCAGGTTCAGGCTGGCCCACGTGGGGTCTGTGGGCGGGCGGGGACAGCGAGGGGGGGACGTGGGTGGCCCGTGGCATGGCCGGTGCGAGGGGGTGGCCACTGCACGGCCGGTGGCACCCCCGGGATTGGGGTGGCGCACGGTGCAGGGCGAGGTGTGACCCAGGGAAAGGTGTGACCCAGGGCAAGGTGTGACCCATGGCCTGCGTGGCACATGGTGTGACCCAGGGCCTGGTGTGACCCAGGGCCCACGTGGCACGTGGTGTGACCCAGGGCAAGGTGTGACCCAGGGCCGGTGTGACCCGTGGCCTGGTGTGACCCAGGGCCCACGTGACACGTGGTGTGACCCAGGGTCTGGTGTGACCCAGGGTCTGGTGTGACCCATGGCCTGGTGTGACCCAGGGCAAGGTGTGACCCATGGCCTGCTGTGACCCATGGCCTGCGTGGCACATGGTGTGACCCAGGGCAAGGTGTGACCCATGGCCCTCGTGGCACATGGTGTGACCCAGGGCCGGTGTGACCCAGGGCAAGGTGTGACCCGTGGCCCAGTGTTACCCAGGGCCCATGTGACACGTGGTGTGACCCAGGGCCTGATGTGACCCATGGCCCACGTGGCACATGGTGTGACCCAGGGCCTGGTGTGACCCAGGGCCTGGTGTGACCCATGGCCTACGTGGCACAGGGTGTGACCCAGGGCACAGTGTCCCAAATGGCATCGTGTGGCATTGGTGACCCCTGACATCCCGTGGCCCATGGTGTTGTGTGGTTCATGGCACTGTGTGATCCTTGGCACGGTGTGACCTGTGGCACCACGTGGCCTGTGCCACCCATTGTGTGGCCCGTGGCATCACGTGGCCCATGATGTCACGTGGCACGCGGTGACACACGGCCCAGGACACCACGTGTGGCTTTGTGCCACCGACAAACAGGGTGAGGGAGGATCACGGGAGGAACACAACGTCACCCCGTGGCACCAGGTGACACCATCCCCCGGGCTCAGGACACCGCAGGGCCCCCGTGCCCGGGTCACTCGTGGCTCCAGGATGTTCCCCCTGCCCCGTGTCCCCCCGTGTCCCCCCGTGTCCCCCCACACTCACTGGGTGCCCCGCAGTCGACGCAGAGCGAGTTCCCTCGGGCGTTGCGGATGGCCTGGATGGCCACGGCCTCGCTCTGGGAGTCCATGCGCGCCTGGGGGGGACACGGGGCTCAGCGGGGCGGGAGGGGGACACAGGGGGTGACCCCAGACCCCTCCCCCGGGGCGGGCCCACCTTGTTCTTGCTGCTCTCGCAGCACTGCAGGCTGGCCAGGATCTGGCTCTCGATGGCCTGCACCCACGCGTCGCGCTCCTCGAAGCTGCCGGCCTCGAAGTGCCACGTCTGCCCCGTGCTCGACACGATCAGGAACTCGAAGTTCTCCTCCTCTGCGGGACCAGAGACCCCCGGGGGGGGGGGAGTTGGGAGGGGGGTCTCTCGCCCCAGGGGCACCGGGGCTGCCCCGGCGCCCCCGTTCCAGCCCCCCACGCCCTCCCCTGCGCCCAAATTCTGCCCCTCCCCGGTGGTGCCCACCCCCGGGGACCCCCCGTGTGGGTGCGGGGGATGCGCTGGCGGCAGGCAAGGGGGGGGGGGGGGGCACAGCCACATGCGGGGGAGGCACCGCGGGCGCCACGTTACCTGTTTTATAAATATTTCTTAAACTACCAAAGCTTTTTAATTTCCACATTTTGCGCTTGGCTGCGGAGGGTCCGGGCAGCGGCAGCGGAGAGAGGAAACGGGGACACGGTCACAGGGGGGGCCCGCGAAGCCCCCGGGGGCGGTGCAGGGGGGGTGGCAGGCGGTGGCACAGCGAGGGGGGCGCGTGGGCAGCGTGGCACGGGGGGGGGTGAGGGACGGGATCGCCCCCGGATCCTCCGTCCGTCGGAGCCCCCGGGGTGTCGTCGCCGTGGTGGAGGGCGGTGGCCTCGTCCCCACGGGGCCGTGGGTGACCCGGGGCTGGGGACGCGTGCCCGTGGCACACCCACCTTCCGTGGCACACCCACCTTCCGTGGCACACCCACCTTCCG